CATATACTATTAGTTTATAGTAATATTCCTATACTAATATTAGTAATATATTAGTATAGTATACTAATAATGTAGTATACACAGTATACCATATAATATTAGTTTATAGTAATATTACTATACAAATAATGTAGTATTGTATGTAGTAAATTATAGTAATTAAACTGTGCAGGAGGCGGAGCGACAATGTGTTGACCCGAGTGTGCACGTGCACGTGTGTTTGTTCACATATTATGTGGAGGAACAGAAAGTCATCATGCTGATGAACTTTTTGAGTCAGTTTGATTCAAGATGGCTGCCACAGCCAGCTAATCACAAAACAAATGATTTAAACAATTATTGTTACAAAAACAACAGATTATTGTGAAATTAAATATTTTAGGTGTTTAACAAAGAAACAAACAATTGAGAGAGAAATGACTCGTAGTTTAAACTTTGATGCTTTTCACATGTTAGAATAAAACATAATTTATTTAAATAAAATAAGCATAACCTGATGTTTTCAAAGACTGAACGGAAAATGTGAGTTTTATGATGATTTATAACTTTTATTGATTAATTAAAGGCACACAGTCGTCGTTAGAGGTGAGCCTTGATTTTCCCAACCTGTTTGTTTCTGATCAGCTGTTCTCATGTCTTCAAATATTTCATCACCAATCAAAGTCCTCTTTGATGTCTGCCATTTGGTTCCAATATGTTGATCCTTTTTATTATACTGGTTTGAATGGAAAAGAGAGCATTGGTCTTAAATTGGACTTTAACAAGCGAGAAATGTTGCAACAAATTATAAGTAAAAAGTCTAAAACATTTATAAATGTAAAACTTTTTAAAAAGTCAAAAGTATAAAAGAGTAAAACATCTAAAACTACTACTTTATTTATAAAGTCCTTTAAAACAAGCTCCACCAAAGTGTTGTACACATAAAATCAAGAACATTTAAACACATAAAAGAATGAAACTGTTAAAACATTAAGATCAATAAAAGTAATAAAAACAGTGCAGAGTAAATTCAGTGTGTGCTAAAAGCCAGGGAGTAAAAATGTGTTTTTAAAGAGTTTTAAAACTGGACAGTGAAGGGGCTCGTCTGATGGGGAGAGGGAGATCGTTCCACAGTCTTGGAGCAGCAACAGAAAAAGCTCTGTCCCCTCCGAGCCTCCGTTTGGACCTCAGCACCTCCAGGAGCAGCTGATCAGCTGATCTGAGGCACCGAGCAGGAGAGTGTGGGTGAAGCAGCTCAGAGGTAGGATGGAGCAAGACCATTTAAACTTTTAGAAACAAATAAAAGAATCTTAAAATGAACTCTAAAATGAACAGGCAGCCAGTGGAGTGAAGCCAGAGTGGGGGTGACGTGCTCCCTCTCATGAACTCCAGTTAGAAGCCGAGCAGCAGCGTTCTGGACAAACTGGAGGCGTCTGAGGGAGGACTGGCTGACTCCAAGGTAAAGAGCATTACAGTAATCCAGCGGAGATGTGACAAAGACATGGATTACTGTTTCCAGTTGCTGTTGTGTGAGGATGGGCTTTATCCAGCTGCATGATAAAAACTGGTCTTGACCACCGCTCCAAACTGGGAATCTAATTTAAAATCATTGTCCATTTTAAAACCCAAAGTAAAAACGATTTCCTTTATATGCAGTGCCAGCAGGCCCAGATCAACAGGTTAAACCACCACCACCACTAACGTGTATGTATTGTCATCATTGTATGTTCCCATACAATGGTGAAATTGGCTGTCTGCATTCAACCCATCCACCACCAGGCGGAGCGGTGAGCGACCTTTGGAGGTGCCTGGGGAGCAGCTGGGGATGGGCTGTCCTGCTCAGAGACACCACGAGTTGTGCAATGACCGGGGATCGAGCCCGGGATCTTCGGGTCCCAAGTTAGCTGCCCTGCCCCTACACCATCTTAGCCCCTTACTAAACATCATGAATTTTGTTTTCTTTTGGTTAAAATTTGAAAAGTTCAAGAATTTCCCTGCTTTGATGTCTTCAAGACACAACAGAAGTGGCCTAATTTAGAGGGTATCTTTTTTGTGTCATTTAAATCTGACTATCATCAGCATAGCAATGAAAATACCCCATGTTTTCTTAGTATTCAACCCCAAGGAAGCAGGTAAAGGGAACAAAAATCAGGGGACCAAAGATAGAGTCCTGTGGAACCTCATAAGAGAAAGAGCAGCGGAGGATTCAGAACCATCTATGCTGACACACATGGTTTTGTCTGCCAGATAAGACCTAAACCAGCACAGTGAAGCATCAAAGATGCCCACTTGGTGATGTAAACACAAAACTAAAACATGATCCACAATCAGTGGTTAGGTCAAACATGTTCACCAGAATCATTACCCATAGGTCATGAAAAATGTTTAAAACAATCTACTCAGTTTTGTAAAATAACCAAGTTCACACAGGTATCCCAACCTATTTGAGCAAAAATATTTATTATTTCCTGTCATTTTAAAACTAAACATTATGTTTTTAGTAGGGATGGGGCTGATCCGATCCAGTATCGGTATCGGGCTCCGATACCAGCATAATTTACATATCGGATTTTCTGATCCACCTGCCGATATTTCCGATAAATGATGCATGTCTGTGGTTGCGCTGCACATTGGCTTCAAACTATGATATGGATTTCCTGAACGGAGGCGTGTCTCATGAACTCAGAGAAATAAGACCCGCCTCACATTCAGGAAATCCACTTCATAGTTTACAGCCAGCTACAACGTGCAGTAGCACTGTTGCTAACAGCTAACCAACTTTTCTTCTAAACATGTTCGCTGTGTGGAAGTATTTTACACTAGAAACACCACAAAGCAAGACAGCAATGTGCAATGTCTGCAGAGCCATAGCGCCACATTAAAGTTAGTTTTACGTTGGACATTCGAGCTCCGGGGCTTCAACGGTCTGTTATCGTCGTTCAGTCCAGAGAAGGCAGTCTGATCTTGGTCAGCCACGCTCAGTCTGACCCGCTCAGGCTGTCCGTGGCTAAACTTCATAATTAATGAACAAAGGATTTTTCAGCCAAGATATAGTTTAACCTGCAGGAGATATTTATTAGTACAACAGTAAACAATCATAAAAAAAACATATGATTTGAATATTACAAGAAAATTATCTATCTATATATCTATATCTATCTCTATCTATATATCTATATCTATCTCTATATCCATCTATCTATCTATATATCTATCTATCTCTATCTATCTATATATCTATATCTATCTCTATCTATCTATATATCTATCTCTCTATCTATATATCTATATCTATCTATCTCTATATCTATATATCTATATATATATATCTATATATATATATATCTATATATATCTATATCTATATATCTATATCTATATATCTATATCTATATATATCTATATATATATATCTATATATCTATATCTATATATCTATATCTATATATCTATATCTATAT